TTTTCAATTTTTTTTGCATTATTTTGAAAATTTTGTCAGTAAGACTCCGATGTCGATGCTTTCTCAATCTTGACATTGCAATACAATCCTTTGAATGAGTCGAGCCCACTTCATTTGCGGTTTAGGAAGAGTCCTTCATTTTTAGATTTGATTTAAATGGCCCTTTCTTAATCCCAAAGCTGTGTCTTAGTTATCCAAGCTGAAAAGTTGAACTTTGGAGTCAAAAAGGACAACAAGTCTATATATGTTGGTCGCATTTCCTTTATTAATAACTTTTAAAGATTCATTATATAAATTTTATAACTTTATTAATAAAGAATATGCAATCTTATTGATACCTTACAAGTTACAAATGATTCAAAACTAAAATACAAGTATGAGCAAGGATTTTTGAGAAAACCGTTAGGAAGGTTGCTGATGAGTTACAAGTATGGATCAATTACGCATTGTTGATTGCACATAGCATTGCTGTTGGAAAATTTTTGAAACTTTTTCCTATAGTTAAGTTTTGCTTTTCTATCATTTCTTTTTCCTTTGGTTTGATATAAAATTTTAAAATGTCTTTGCCTTGCAAAAGCTTTAGTATATCTGCTGCTCAGGTTGATGTCGGCATGTGGTTAGTATCGTACATTCGTTATCTATTCAATTTCTTCACTCTGATTTGTATTGGTGAGTTATAAGACCCTATTAATTTTTATAACAATGATTCCTTTAACTTTATAGATATATGCTTAGGTCATGTTTAACGCATAAGTTGTTAGATAAGATATTATGATAATCATTCTATATTATGTTGGGTTTGTATCTAATTCAAAGAGATAAGATTACAAGAAAGATTATCGTCCTATTAGTATAAAATGATTAAATCCTCCTAAAGTGAAGAGAATTATTTTTAATTCATAGAATTATACCCTTAAAATTTATATTAATAATTTAAATTGTACAAACTTTGAGAAATGATAATTTTGATCAATAAATAAATTATCTTATCTTAATCCTTACACATATCAAATATAAAATAAAATAACGCTATTTAATCTAATCCTATTCATAATTTTATATATTAAATATGACCTTAATTTATTATATATGTTTCTTATGAGTTATTTTTAGTCTATTAGTTCATTTGGTATATGATAAATACTAGCACCACATCAATGAGAAACTTTATGTAACACACAAAATCATTCAAACGCAGTACAGGAAAATTTATGAAACAGTATTAAAGGAAGCTTTCATCACCCTCAAAACAAGGAAAAGAAGATGTAGTAAGCGAGTTTGCTTCCTTCTTTCTGCATTCTGCTTACGTCACTTTAGAAATGACTAAGATGCAAGCATCTTTTGCGTTGTTGGTGTTGCATTAATTTGGATTATGCAATTGTTTGATTATCCTTTGTTGAACTGATTGCTCATATCACATTGTAATACGCCTCCAGCAAATGCACATTTAGTGACCAGTGTACCAACCAAGAATTAAAATGCAATAGATCAGAGAATTCACATATCGAGGATTTAATAATATCCTCTGATGTTGCATCCCTCAAGCATGGCATGCTGTCTAGATTCACCTATTTCAGAAAAGATGTTGCTCTATCAACATTTAAGATTATAGGTATTCATCTTTTTCAGGTTTATGTATCATTTTGGAGAGATCATGATTTCCTCTTTCTACTATATTAATCGCTATTTTTTGCAAAACGTCTGATCATAAAATCTGTAGTTCTCTACATGTGATTCCCATCATATTTTTTTTGTGAACCACTATTTTAAAATACATTTATTTTACTAATCTTGAACTAGTTTCTTCCATTGGATTTTGTTCTTATAAGTAAATGAATGCCTTTTATGGTGTTTAGATGTGATTAAACACAAGTAGAGAAAATATTGAATGTCTATGAATTATTTATGATTAACTGACGATTGGTCCTATTCTTGAGATCTTATTGACATCATGCAAATGATTTAAAAATGAAAAACAAAGAAAAAAAATTAAATGTTTATAAATAGTTTCATGATATAGTCGTGCTTTGGGATTGCATTAGGTAGTAGCACTTTGCATGGACCATTGACATGCTACAGAATTGATAAGTGATGAACTGATGATCCTTGGTTCAAACTTATAGTTTTGTAGGGATAATTTCATATTTATCATGACATACAGTCGGTTAAATATGCATTTTCATTATTTATCATTCTTTTTGTTTTTATTTTGAGTTAAAAAATACTTTAAAAAAAACTAAATTTAAACCTGTGCAATACACAAATAATAATATCAATGTATAATAATTTTTTGAAAGTAAAATAAAAGTAATATTATAAAATAAAACTTTTTTAATTCTTAATCTATTCTTCTTTTTTTTTTTTTACACTTTTATGATTAAAGAGGATATTACGCATATAAATTCTTTCAAACCCATAACCTTTGAGTGTCAACTCCAATATCATATCAATTGATCAAAAAATTAATCTATAAAAATAATTAAGTTGTAAACATGTTCAATAATATTTTGAAATTTTGATAATTAAAAAAAATAATTCTAATGAAAATTTAAAAAATATCAATACTATAAAACAATTAAGTAGAAAGAAATTTTAAAAAAAATGAATAATTGAACTATTAAAAAATAACATTAATTCAAATCACACTAAAAAATTAATATGAAATTCAACTTTCAAAAAATTCTACTTAACCAAAAAAAAAAAAAAAAACAACCCATCTGTCAAAAAATTTATATAAAAATTTAAAATAAAGTTTTACCACTAAATTACCGATGAAAAAGAATAAATTTCATAAACTTATATAATTTTTCATTTAATAAAACAATCAAATATGTCAGTTAACCAATGTAAAAGCTGGAATCTTTTAAGTAGTACCTTTGAAAATCGTGTAATGAGAATTAAAAATTAAAATTTTACAATCCAATATTATTTTCTTATCATTAAAAATAATTGTACAAAAATAAGAGTTGATTAAAAGAAAATTCATAAAAATAATTGCATGCAAGGTAAAATCATTATCATCCCAAAAACACGTGTTGGGGGAATGACTCAATTGATCACTATTACAAAAAATTATTAAAAAAAATAATAGAATAGAAACTAGTTAATAAATTAAAAATTGGGAACCTAAGATTCTTTTATTCCATAACAATAAAATATCACGACAATGAAAAAAAAAATTTTGTAATAATGCAATCTATTTATTCAACATCTCAAAACATCCTTATTTATAAGATGGATTATGAAAATAATTATGAAATAATTTTTAATTTTTGAATGATTAATTGATTAAAATGAATTTAAAAATAAAATTAAGATCAATAATAATATTTTAATTTGAAAGTAATTTATATTTGAGAATTAGAATAATCAAACATGATGTGAATTTAACTTGTTTTGGAAAAATGCTAAAAGAAAGATTATAAATTTAGTGCAATAATGGTAATGGACTTCATTTGATCCCTTACATATCAAAATTAATTTTAATTGACTTGATCATTTATTAATCATTTTAAAATTAATATATACATATTAAATATATATATATATATAGCTTAAAGCTGAAGTAAATAAATAGATTATAAGTTAAAAAATTGAGAATTTGAATTATTTTTTTCAGAAATGTTATTTAAAAGCTGAATATTTATAATTGAAAAAAAAGGACATAAAATAATTTTTATGGCAATTAAAGTTTTATTATTTTTAATAAGAATTTAATTGAGAATAATTTAAGATAAATAATAATAATAATAAATCTAATTTATTATTAAAAAATAATTCAAATAAAATAAAATATATTAATTAGAGAACACATAATATTTTATTCAAGACTGTATACGTGTCAAAGGAATAAATTATTCACATTAAAGTTTTTAATTTTTTGCCAAAAATTTTGATTTTGTATATTTATATAAGATTAAGAAGACGATGCATGGACGTTTCCTTGTTTCAGAATCCCTGTCACAATCTAGACAAAGCAAGACAACTAGACACGACATCTACAACCAAAACCAAATTTGAAGCATTATATGGCTTTTCCTATACTGAGTTAGGCCATCAAAATGAGAAGAAAGCCGCAAGGTACGTGTGGGAGCAGTTTTATAAACATAAGTAGGCAAATGATGCCATGACTTGAGAGAATTGCAGGACAACTTTACTTCCTCAAAGAAACCCGCAATACTACGGAACAAAAGATATACAATTATTAGTAGTACTTGGTACTTAACACTCTTTCTATTATGTTAATGGTGGGTTTAATAAATTTACTAAAACAATGATATTGTAGGCAAATTCGTTCAATCGCTTAGAGGTGACAATTGGATGCATTAGGTCATTTTGGATGACAATTTTAGATTCAGATTATTCAGATGTAACACTCAAATTATTTAGATTTGAGTCATTAAATTTCGAATTCAAAATGTTAATTTTTAAAGTTAAATTAATTTAAATTTAAATTTTTAAATTAAAAAATTAAGTTAATTTACATCATTATTATTTCAACTAGATTTGATAAAATTTTTGCATTCACGAAAAAACCATTGATAATTTATAATGTATATACTCATATCATATTTATATTAATATAAAAAATAATAAATATATATTTTTTTAGTTTTTATTAAAATTATTTAAACCGTCTAATAATTACCAAGTAGAAATTTCGCCTTAAAATTTGCGTCCTTCAAGTTCAAGTTAATAGTTAAGTTAAATTATAATTCAAGTTGCTTTGAGTTTGGGTTGAGAGAGAGTAGAAGGTGATAATTTTTTACCAATTACAAAGTGCTATTTGTCCTACAAAAATTTTTTGTCAACTTCATATAATGACCAACTAAATTTTTAAAATATTATTTTATTAAGTTACGCGTACAAGTATAGATAAAGATTTGCTAGTAACGAGCAATGACATTTTTTTTTTTTTGTTCAGATCCCACAAAAATTCATAAATTCATTATGTAATGTAACCCCATCAGCATCAGCAACAGCAACAGCATATCAGCATGACAACAAAATTTTACCTCAGCTGGGATATCTTGAGTTGAATGAAGACAATACCCAAGGGGCCCCTGATGTTGATCTATACAGAAGAACCTCTTTCAAATAATGGGGAAAATAAAAACTGATCATATGGAATGAAAGAAAAACATCTACCACAGTTTCTGAATCTAATAACTTCCCCACTAACAATGCCTATATCCTCGCAAAAACTGGTAATGATCTTTGCAGCATTACATGCTCCATCCATGCATTCATGGCCACCTAATCATATAATTTTTCTTTTGCTTTTTTTTTTTTTTCTCAACCAAAGCCAAAGCCACCTTATTGGGAGGTTCAAAGAAGAAAAAGTACTTGGGGACAGGAGTACCCAAAAAAAAAAAAAAAAACTAACTTCATGCTCTTCCATTATCCAATTTCCTCAATTTCAAGAAAATCTTCTTACATCATTTCCTCCCTCACAAACACCACTTTCTCCTACAAAAACTCTTGAATTTATATCACATCTCTGGATTTTGTAACAAACAAAACTTCTTAAACTTGCCTTGGAACCAATTTTGCATGTTTTTACCATATAAACTGCATGGGTGTAAGCTGCAATGTGACTATGAACAACACCTCACCACTAACAGCAATCAGATGGTAAACCCATGTTAAGCTCAATGCTATCTGGTGCATCAAATAATGTGACAAGATTCAACCAAAATTTTTTAATTTACAGCTTCGAAGAAAAGAACCTGCGGTTGCAAGTGCCCCCGTTCACACATTGTGACAACGTCAGCCCAGCCACCAATCACCTGGACATCAAAAATCAGATTGTAACACCAGAAATAAGGGATTACACTGGATGACATACTTCAAGAAAGAACACAAACTTACCTTGACAGTTTTGTCATCATACATAATCCATCTTTCACAATCATGACTATAGGCAAAACAGTGATAATGTTGCCCATAATAGCAAACCTGAGAGTTTTAAGAAGAAATATGAAAAGCACAAGAAAATCAAACCTCACAAACAATGTTCAAAAATAATCTTTCGTGGCATTTTAAATTCTGTATTAAAAAATAAAACTCACACAAACCCATACACACATACAGGGAGAGAATGCACATACGTACCACTGAGACTAGGCATTTTAAATTCTGCATTAAAAAATAAAACTCACACAAACCCATACACACATACAAGGAGAGAATGCACATACGTACCACTGAGACTAAGTTATGATTATTTTTTGGATCTAGACCACGATAAAGGACACTAATATCTATTTCAGTGTTTAAGGCAGACAGTGTTGCAGCTATGTCATCAGCATTTTCACATGTTTTCTGCCAACCTAGAACTGCAAGACCAAAAATGATAATGATTTTATAAGTATAAACCACTGAGTGTAAGTACAAATCCATTTAAAAAACTTCAAGCGCAACCTGTTGTGAAAACATGTGGTGGATTTGAGAGAATGTGATGGATATAGTTGAGCTTCCCACAGCCACCAGCCTCTGGATCACAAGCTAGCTGATGGTTCATCTCCACAAGATTTAAAAGGTCATCAAAGGAGCTCTCTGCACACATAACCTGAATGACAAACAAAAGTTTGTTAGGAAGAACCAAGAAAAGAAAATTGTTCAACAGGAATTCTAGAATTTATCTGTTTTCCAAAGGATGATACCTTCATTGTTCGCAGTGCACTGGCATTTATATTATGAAAGAAAGTAGTGTATTTCAAATGTCTGGACTCCAGACCACAACTGTAGCAATTCATTTGTTCAAAGATATCCATTCCAAAAAGGGAATGCACTATACAAGCACTGTTTAAACAATCCCAAGAGCCCATGCAGTTGCTTTCCACAGAATCAGCATCAGAAACACTTGAACCAGAAGTAAAAGACCGATGAAGGCAATCAAATATTACAGCCAATACTTCAGAAGCATCGTTCATTTGAGCCTGTAAATTGCTACTTTTTCGTCAAAACTTTCCAACATAGACATCCATCTAAAAATCATAATTATGGGTAATGATGAGATATCTAACAAGGAAATCCAAATTCTACAATAAAAGCTGATTCTACCTCTTGGAAAAAGTTACTATCTGGATACAAGTTGCTAAGAGCTATTCTTAGTGAAGTAGAGGCAACTGGTTCCCTCCGTGCATCAGTAGATGCAATGTTCAGGGCAGTGAAGATTTCATATAGTGCACAGACAACACATGGATCTCCCACATGAACATGATCTGACGTCGATCTCCGCAAGAATTCATCACGAAAACGTCTCAAGTGCCACAATGACTGAGGTTATACCAAAGGCAGCAAACAATTTAGCAAGAGAAGATTACATATAATGCCAAGTTCAAGGAAAGTAGGTCAAAAGAGGCCATAAACCACTCATACGAGAAAAAACCAACCTGTATTATAACATTCAGAAAGCAATTGTATTCGCCAACTTCATTCTGAAGGCCTGTACCAAACACATCAGTTTCATTCAAATCTTCACTGGAGACCTCATTTGGTGAGACACCATGGTTATTTACTTGCAAAGGTACCCTTTGTGCTGTTCTCAAACTTGAAGTCAAGGGCAATTTCTGTTGTGCTTGATATGTGTCTGAAACATGAGATAAACACCGGGTCAGAAAGTGACTGAACTAGCCAAGCTACTCAGGAAAAGTGAAAACCAGGAACTTAACACCAAGTACAAATTTAAACAATTTGCCCAATTTGCCAGCTAAGAAACAATAAATCCAAAAGAAAAATGCTATCGAACTGAACATAGAAACTACAGTAGTGAATACATACATGACAACCATCGCAATATTTGGGCAAAAAATTATGAGTCCAAGTCCTATAAGTTAAAATTATTTAAGCACATACTGAAGAATCAATGTGAAAATACATTTGCAATTAAGCAATAGACTACCAAATAGACTGATATATGCTCACTAGGGTTGAACCAAAAATACCAAGTTAAATACTGATGCACAACTAGACAGCTCATCATCCAAAAATTTTCGTGCATTAGCCAATCAGATAGAGGACTCCAATACTTAATCCTTGAAACAAATACCCAGCAAAAGAACTTTTGCCCAAATTAGTCTCAACGTAAATGGCAGATAAGCAGTACATAATGATAAAAAATATTCCTTAAATAGATGAAACCAAAATATTTTTTGCCACTAAAAAAATCATTGGTGAAATCATTTTACATTTTGTTCAGATGATGCTACTGAGAAAATGGGTACCCAAGACAAATTATCGGACATACACTACAATATTTCTTTTATGTTCACCAAGTACAACTGACTTGTTTCAAGACAATCCCAAGCATAGTGCTTGTATGAGTAGCATAACAATAAGAAACATGTACAAGTAAATGAAGTAAGAGCACTACCAAGGCTTTGGCGAACAGCTTTCTTAAGGTCAGCTTGGAACCTTTCTTCATCATCTTCCTCAGATTGCAGTTGTCTTAAAGTTTTTGTACCGCCTTCTCCAGAAATAGGAGTAACTGGTTTCACAGAAGTACCCATTCAACTTAGTTCCCCAAATATGGACAAAAAATCTGAAAAACAACTTACCACACAAAAACTATTAATAAAAATAACAGTAATGCAAATTCACGTTGACATATAGTCTATAACCAGTATGGCAAGGTGATAAAAAGATTATGGTCAATGGAGGAATCAAATACAAATCCTAAGGCAAACTGAAAAACATGATGTCAGTAATAAAATTTATTCCTTGTATTCTAAAGCTTACATATGCTTTTTCCCTTTATATAGTATAGATAATAAGAAAATGTATGTGTTATGGATTAACAAATTGAGAAGGAAATTGTAATTTTCCAAAACAAAAATATGGTGAGCATAATTCCAATACAACCTCATGCTAAATTTTGCTGTTTACCAAATGGTACTACGCGGTAGTCGGAACAAAATTTTGAGAAAGCAAAATATAGAAAGGAGATTGAACAAGCACATAATACACACATGCACAAACAGACAACATCGAAAGAGAAACTTTGTAAAAAATAAACCTATACCATATGAAGAACAACATCAGACCATAGGTGCCTGAGCACATACATGTAGACCTAATAAATAAATCCGGTAAATTCAAAAGCTCTAGCTCAAGCACTATTGGTTGAACCATAGATTTAATGCAGTATCAAAATATCACTTGCTTCGATATGACATCATGCGGAAGGTGACACAACAGTACATGCAAAAACAAAGAAAGCACTTAAAAGATTTCTAGTTTAATTTTCAAATATTAATTTCACATGCCAGTGCAATTTCGAGGATGCCAAAGTTTTCATTAGCATTGATTTAGACAAAATCAAGAGGTATGTTACTGAAAGATATGATTCCAGTGCACGCATAAATGCATTAAATAATATGAACAGTTCAACACCAAGACATTATCATGAAAATCCAGTAATTTGTTTCTACTTTGATGACATCCACGTAAAAGTCATATAGAAGAAAGTAAACTAAATATCTGACTTTTTTCCTGTCACTATATGTGAGAAAGGAAGTACAATTGACTGCTTCCACAGTTTCAATCTGAACCCTCTTTCAATTACCATAGAACCATTTCTCTATTTTCACCCTTCGTGGAACCAAGTAAACATCAGCATGGAGCTGAATAATGTAAAAGTAAAAAGTAAACTTTACCACTGTTCAGAGGGACACCATCAACAAATCTAACTAGTTCTTCCACATTGATATGAGGGCTTCCAACTTGAATGTTTTCCTTTTCAGATGACACAACTTGATACTTTCCATCAAGAAATTTGTTGGAATTTTTATGTCGTCTACTCTTTCTTCCTGTCCGTCTATCACCGGGAAAAAGACCATCCTCTGGGACAGCACCATTAGATAGTCCTGCATAATATCAAAATATGATGATTCTGAAGTACAACAGCACACATTAGTCTCATTCATAAACCGTGTTATATTGCTAACCTTGTTTAAATTTAGTATGAGTGCCAGAAGTTTTAGAAGTTACTGGCACAGCTAAACCATTGGCAGTGCTCATTGGTATGCTATCCAAATTGTTTGTGACCCTGTTACTTAGTGCCAAATGTTCCTGAAAAGAAAGTTTATATGGTTTTCTGATTATCTCATTATGCTTCCTCTAAACGTAACAGCATAGAACACATCTCAGCATCGCAGCATTAACCAACTTCCATCTCAACATGTATAAAAGAAAATTTCAATAACAGAATGCTTACCTGAATATCTAGATCACTGCCTTCCAAGTAAGCATCATGCAATCCATCTGCTGCTTTCTCTGCAAATGCTTGATAAGTTTTTTTATTTTGCTCAGCAAGGTGTTTCTGTTTAGCCTCATTCTCAATCCGTCTTTGATACTCCAAAGTCTCTTCAAGTTTTCTTTCCTCTGCTTCAAGCTCAATTTTTCGTCTAAATTCCTCGTCTCGTTTCAAGTCATCACCATTCACAGAAACAGCTTCAGAATCTAGATGGTCACCATCAGAAGCAACTGCCAAAGAACTGCACAAAACACTCATGAAAATGCACATTAATATTAGACTACACCAAAAAGTATTACTAGCACTTATGTGAAGATGGAATACTTTAAAATCATAAATGAGAATCTGCAAAAGCAGAACAGGAGGAAAACATACACTAGATCAGCAGTCTCATCATTAAGCACATGCTGCTCATTTCCACCAGAGGCCTGAAACATCAAGAAAACATTAGACCTACACAGTGGATTATGTACCTTAAGTAAATACCGACTATTATTAAAAAAAAGTAAACCGTACCTTTGAATCCTTGGATTTTCTGAACTCTTTGTTCTTTTTCTTATCCTTGTTTTTCTCCTGTGAATGTCTGGAATTATCGTTTCCCCCTCGAACACCCTTCTTAGAGTCACGTGCAAGCTCAGCTAAAAAAGCTTCTCTTGCAGCATCAGACTTCTCAGTAGCATCTTTCTCAGCCAGATCCTCCAAGTGTGCCTGAATTTAAAAATAATAAATAAATAGATAAATAAAGCAAATGGGAATTTCAAGATATAAACATTTCTTTTAGAAGAAATAGAACATCACACGAAATTCAAGTAGTTCATTACATACCCTCAAGTACGATTTCACTAAAGGCAACAATATTGATAGATAATCGTGTGCAGACACAGGCTCAAGTTTGACTTCCAACTGCTGCATCCCAGTAACATTTCGCATAATTCTTGCATCAATTTTGCTTAGCTGCTTGACAAAACAAAACAATTAAGAATGGCAGGTTAAGAATCAATTCTTTATATTACAAGTTGCACCTAAAGCAAAAGACAGACCTCCACTGATAATTGTTCCTTCTGTCCCTGAATGGCAACTTCTATGCAGGTGTCCACTTGATGCACATAATCCTTAGCTCTCCAGTCATCATCTTCACCAGATTCCAAGTCACATAACTGAGAAGTCACACCAGCATAAGTATCCTCAAAGCCAAATTGATTGACATTCAGTGCATCAGATTCTTTTAAAACATTTGATATGGCATCTAACTCAAATCTAATGCTGTGGAGCATAACATCACTTTCACTCTCAACAAGTTCTTCTCTTCGCTTTCTAAGGACAGATTCATAGCTTCGATGAACAAATTCAGTAGCAGTCTCCCTCTTCTTACCTTCTTCAAGACAGAGATCCTCCACAGCCTGCAATGCTTCCTCATAGCTTATATGGTCACATTTTCTCTCACAGAGACTCTGTAGGTGATAAAACTCCTTCTCCAGCATCTTGAGAATTTCCAGTCCTTGCTGTGTTTTCTCTTCTTTCATGCGCATCCATGATGCCAATTGATCCCCACTTGAGGGGCCAGCAAAGATCCAGGACAGTAGAGAATCAGCATCCTGCAAAACCCCATTTCCAGAACTACAATTAGCATTTGCCTGGGCAGCATCCTCTATTGCTGCATCAGGCAATAAATGTTCATCCAGGAGGAGACACGAAGCATCTGCATTAAGAACAATCTTCTCTTTAACCTCAAGAATCTGAGTGGCACCATTCACATCATCATCCACAGAAGCAGTCTTCTCAGAATATCTAGCCAGACCACAAGAATGAGATAAGTCCTGCAAGAATTTAAGGATTTTTCTAAGTTGTGTAGCTCCCAGAAAACAAATGCACATGGGTGTTTGATCTACACCATGATTCAGAAGCTGAGAACCAGAAACCACACTCTGCAACTCATCCATTGTAAATTGTATCACCTTGTTAAGATGGCTCGCAGCAAGGCACTTATGTCTAATAAGCAGTTCAAATGTACCACGAATTCTTTCAAGCAACTTTGCACGCTCAGCATCATCCACTGTTGGCCAACTATCCCCAAGGGGATATGCTACAGAACCCTGGTTTCCATCACATTCTTTGTGCTCAGTGCTAGAAACTTTGTTACAATCATTGCCCTCTACACTACCACAATTGTAGCGATCCCCAAAATTTTCCTTCTCAGGAGATGAATCCCACGCATCTTTGAAGCAATCATCACACTCCTCATTATGATTCCCTGAGTAAAAATCCTCCAAAAACTCTGAGTCACGAAATTTAGATTGATTCCCAATCATTTTAACTGCAGCAGAAATATCCAAAGGATTCCAAGAGCAGTTAAGGAGCATCTCAATCCACTCATCATCAATACTCTGCGGCAAAACAGTCTGCATTTTAGGCATGAGGTTCCCCATATGTTCCTGAACAACATGCTGCATATAAGACTCTGAATCTGCAAACTTCTCACTACACCTACAACAAACCCAAAACTTCCAAGTTTTATTAACATCAGAAAATGCTAAAGCCTCTGATAAGACCTCACTCGCGAATCCATCTTTCAACAAACCAAAATATGCCTTGAGATCACTAACCCTAATCCTAAGCAAATCTTTCTTCAAATCAACACTCATTGAATTCCAAAACGATCGAACCCAATCCTTCCTTTCAGCTGTAGAACCATTCTTCCTCCTCCTCCTATCCGCTCCTCCTCTTTGTCCACTTCCAGAAGTCAAATCCAGTCCATTCCTCTCTCCCTCACTTTGCAACAGTGGTGAAGACGAAGCTGCATCAGATTTCTGTTGCTGCAACAACCTAGCTGCAGCAACTCTAACCTCAATCTCTTTCCTTCTTTCTTCAGGTGTCTTTGTAGCTTTCCTAATCTCATTAGGCCTTCTCGTTTGCACCAACCTAGCCTCCATTGGATCCTCAGTTACTCTCGGTATCGGAATTAACCTAAACTTATCTTCTCCACTCCCTAAGTTCTTCATCCATGTAGAAATTGAAGCAAAATTCGATTTCTGTATCAACGACCTAAGCTCACTTTGCACGTGCAAAATCCTTGCCTCCGCGGTTGATATTTTCTGTTGACTCTCGTCTTGTAAGCTTTCTTTGGCGGGATCCACCGGATTCTCAATGGCCAATGCGCGTTCGCATTCTTGAAACACTTCTTCATACTCTTTTCCATCGTTGGCCGCTTCATACAGTAAATTAGCATAAAAATGAGAAAATTCGATCGAGTTCGGAGATAATTCCACGGCTTTTTTGGCCGAATCGATCGCGTTTTTCAAATGCCGGTGTTTGGCGTTAGGGTCATCGATGATGGACGCCACTTTCACGCAGACCGTGCCTTGAACGCGGTGGATTAGCGCCGCATGAGCCGAGTTCTCGTGGCGAGTACAGGATTCTTTCATCAACCGAAGCGCTTTGGTATGGTTGCCACGTCGGAGTGCCGTTAGGGCTCGCTCGCACTCTACCTTAACCGCCGAATACGACGACGAAGGCGAACCATCGGATTCAACGGGAACCGTCAATACCTCGATCTTCGCATTATTGCCACTCAGCTCGGCTTCAGCTGAATCGTTAACAGCATCCACCGGCGGCGGCTGTTTTGACCGTGGAGCAACGTGTTTCTTTTTGTGCCCCATCAATTTTTATCTCAATCGAATTAACATGCATAAATCTTCCTTCTCTTTTTTTTTTCCCTTTTTTATCAGTTTGTTTGGAAAGAAAGAGATTGGAAGAGAGGAGTGAGGGAGGGGAGAAGAGATGGACTTACTGGAATTGTGAGGGGTAAAGTTGAAAATTCAGAGGGAAGAAAACGGAAAAGGATCGGCGGCGAAATCGAAACGACGAGCAGGGGCTGAGAGTAGGGGAAGAATCGCTTCTTCTTCTGCTGCTGCTTCCTTTTTTTTTTTTTCTTGGGTGTGTGTGTCAGACGGAAATGCACCTACCCACGGAAGGAAAGAGGGTGAGGCTTTGATTTGTGAGAAATGAAATTGGGGATTAACCACTCTTAATTTATACTAATAGTAATTCTAATTTTATTATTCTTTTTATTTTTTAATGCAATATATAATAAATTATATTTATTGCGGGTTTATTAGGAAAAATTAGGAGAAATATTGGAGTAATAATTAGGGGGATAAAATATTTTATTTCTAATTTTTTTATTAATTTTTTAATCTTATTTGATTACGTGCATATTTATGTTTGATTCATTATAAGAAAAATATTAACAACTTATAATAATCGAGAATTTTGTAACTTAGTATGGAGTTGGTTTGAAATTAGTATTATTTAAATGTTTTATTTGTGTTTAAAAATTTTAACTTCGGATCTTATTATTAATAATTTTTTTAATAAATTATTAAGGATGTATGATATTAAAATAATTTTTATGTTTTTATAATAATATATATGAGTAAGAATGTATTTATATTAAAATAATTTTTATATTTTTTAATTCTTGGATCATATTATATATATATATATATAAAATGAAACAAATTAAAAAGACTCCTTCAAACACAAGTTAAGAGGGATTTTTTTTTATTTAAAAAGACAAACATATTTTTTAGTATTTACCTTAAAGAAAACCCACAGAGGAAAATGATTGATGGGCAAGAAACGGAAAAGCACGGAACCAAGAGAAATATCATGTGATCATCAAAACATTATTCACCACATTTTTACTCTATAAATTTTTGTCAAAAACATAATTTGGAAAGGTAGGTTTCATATAAACACAATGAATGAGCAGTATGGATTAATTTATATTAGTGTAAATTTTATATTATTTTTTATTTTTTAAATAAGATTAAATTTATGATTAATTTAAATTAAAATAGTATTTTTAATTTTAATCATTTTAATTTAATACTTAAAAAGGGTAAATTTGACATTGATTTACGTAATCTTCTTATCAAAAAATATAATTTTTTAATTTTTTATTTCCTTTATTTTTTTCATTCCTACCAAACATAACATAGTAAAAATCAAATCAAATAATAATAAGTTTTTAGTTGTTTGATTTTATTATCATTTATTGCAAGTGATTAAGGATCTCAAGTTGAACTATATCTAGCTCAAATCTAATTGCTTTTTTATTTTTTAATGATGTTTTTTAATATTATTTTTATTTTTCAAGTGTAAATCAATTCATAGAGGAATTGTATTAATAGGTATACGGGAGAGATCCGCTTGATTATATCAATATAAATTTAATTAATTTTACATTTTTTATTAACCGTTGGATCAATATTAAATTTATGATTGAGATTAAAACGTTCTTTCAACTTATCTCCCTTCTGTCTCTCTTTCACATTTCTCCCCTCATTTCTCTTTCGATGTTTTTAGGGTTTTTTTTAATTTAAATATAAAGTTTAAAAAAACTTTTTTTTTAATTTCTCACACCTTTTTTTATATATTTAAATCTATTATTGATCAATTAAATTAAAAATTCAATATTATGCTGATTTATATCTCATTACTTTACTCTTTCTTTATTCAACAACTTGACATCTAAGTTATTTTTCTCTAAAGAACTTGGCATCTAAGTTTAATTATCTCTTTAGGAGCTTCTTCAAGATCAGTAGTATCAAACATTTATCAAAAGACCTCTGAGTCTCCAACTTTCTTGACCCAAACAACTTGTGTTCGTCACAGATTCTAATTTCGTGTTATTATAATCTTTTCAATGCAATCAATGTATTTGGATAGCAAGAAAAAAATTGCTTAATTTTTTGTACAAAAATTTTGATTACTAGAAGCCCAGAAAATTATTGAGTAAATAATTGAAAAAAAAAAGGTTCCATGATTTTGTTTTAAAGCAATGTTCAAGTTGGATTTTTTTCATGAATTTTAGAAACTAAAAGAGATAGATAGGAAGTATAGAAAATAAATAAATAAAAAAAAAAAACGAGACGAGTTTAATGTCAATGAAAAGGCGATGAGCATTGATTCTAAATTAATGAGGTGATTTATAAAATTTTTTAGAATCAATATGCTCTTAAAAAAAAAAATACAAAGATGGAGAGAAGAAGCGTGAAAGACGAAAAAAAGTGGAAAAAAAAAAAAAGAAGTAACGCAAGTGATAAGTGGTAAATATAATAGTTGAATCTAAATCATTTGATTTATCCAAATCAACGGTCAGTAAAAAAAAAAGTTATAAACTAATTATGGTGTAAATGAATATTTGTGTGTGTATATATATCTATATATAATAGTAATAATTAAGGGTGAAAAAAATGAAAATTGAAATCATAATATTTTATTCGGATTGATTTTTTAATTTGATTTTATTTAAATTAGAATACTAAATGTTTTATTAAATTTAAATCTAATTTTGAATAAAAAACAAAAATATTTTATTTGAACCAAACTATATATTTTTATGAATTATTATTTTTTAAAATTTTATAAAATAAAAAATATTATTTTATATTTAAATTTTAATTTAAAATTATATTAAAATAATATCAAAAAATTTAAAATTTAAAATCTAACGAATCAAATCAAATTAACAGAATTCGATTTGAATTGGATTAATTAAAATTTTTATCTTAATTCAAATCGATTTTTAAAACTCCACAATATTGTATATTAATCGAAATAATTTGAAATCGAGTCAAATTATTATTTTTATAATAATAATAAAAATGTAAAATTTTCATTTTAAAAATAATTTTTATCTCTGAATTTAAAATCAAATTTATTAATAATAACATCAAAATCAATAATTAAAACTTTTTGTAAAAAAAGAAAATCTAACACTTTTGAGTTATTGTGCACATTAAAAAAAATTTAGATGGTAACAAATTTGCTGATAACACTTTTATAATTGTCTGGACTGCACGGCTGCACCCGTGTTAAAAAAAAAATTAAAATGGAAAGATTGAATATGAAAAGGAAATATTATCCATGATCCGACATCCACTCCGACCCTAGACACCAATAATCCAAATCCCTTCATGCCACAAGCAGGTGTACAAAGTAGCTGGTACAAGTTTTTTCTTTACCAAACAAACGTTACAATTATTTTACTTCAAATGCAGTTGTCACACCAAAAAAAAAAAATACAGATCTCAAATTCAGATTGACATATACCTAGGACTGAAAGGGAAAGGGATGTCTCGTTACCAAAATATAAAGCTTTTAAAAATAAACGTGTCATATCATGCTTTACTTTCAGGTAGAAATGGGATTTTATCATTATTTTATTCTTCTAGTTGGTCAGCAAAATCTCATGAGAATATGGGGTTGAAATTGCTTGTTATTTGGACCGCATATTAACAGCAAGACAAATGAAACAGTGCACCTACTAGTCAAGACATAGATTTGTTAGTTCGTATATTTTTATCAGATTTATTTTGTATTTTTTTAAAATATGATACATAATATATAAAATATAAATATAATATAAAATTTTTAATATTTTAAAATTTTAATATATAAATAAAATATATTTATATATTACATATAATATGATATGATTAATACGTTTAAAATTAATATATTTAAATTTTATATAATACAACACGTTTAAAAATTATTAACGTGAATTATATGACTAATACAATCGTTAACATACTTAACCAATAATTAATATTGATTATCATAACTCCATTTGAAATAATTTATAAAGCAAATATAATAAAATTAATAACGTGCACAATCTATAACATATGTTTAAAATTAAATTTTCAATTAAAACTAAAATGTTGAAAATAAATAAACAAATCAAAGAATTTGATTATTAATATAATAATAATATCCTATAAAAAGAAAATAAAGAATATTCTAAAAATATATATAAAATAAAGAATTTTTCAAAATTAATTGTAATAAATTATTATTATAAACTTAAAATATTGAAATAACCTTTATATATATAACATAATGTTAAACCTTATATGAAAATGCAACATAAATTTAAATTAGTAAAATGAAGCACATAAAAATAAAATGAAGCAAGCAAGCACATTATAAAAAATGAATCAAGAATCTTGATTTTATCTTTATTAGTAATAAAATAGGTTTCAAGAAAAATAAAAATACATTTTCTCATCATTATGCCTATTTGATTTAAAGTTAAAGTGTAACATGCACAATAATCTCAATTCATTATTTCTAAAGTATTTGATTTAAAATTAGAGCACGTTATTTATTATAGTTTTGCAATGAATAAATTATAAACCCTAAATTTTAAATCTTAAACTTGAAAACACTAAAATTTTAAACCCCAAAAATTATAAATGTCTATTTGAGATTAGATGATGAAAGTGATTACAAGGAGACTTGTATACAAGTAAAACCTTATTATATACAAAAATTTCATTCGTTATCTATAATAAGTTTTTAAAAGGTTAAAAAATTACAAAAAACTTTCGAATAAAAATTAAATAATCATTCAAATTCATATAATTTTATGACAATTAATTAAACTTTCAAATATTTATTTTCATCAACTAAGCTCATATGAAAATTGGTTAACTATCAACATGCACTTTCATCAAATTAAGAGTTTAATTGGGATAAAAATAAATATTTAAATATTCATAAGTAAAAAATGTTTAAAAATTTAAATGATCCAAAATGAAAATTAATGAGTTTAACTAATTGTAATAAAACACCATAAACTTAAATGATTCTTAAATATTTGTTTAAAGACTTTTTTTTTTTACTTTTTAAAAGCAAAAATAATAAAATGGTAATTTTGTACATAACTCTACATGTTTCTTTTGTAGTAGTAATAAATCTAAATAATGAACTACAATCATATTAACATTACGTGTTGTAGTTATTAGTAATATCAAAAAATAATTACATATTAAATGAATAAAAAATTAAATGTTTAAAATAATTTTTATATGTTTATATTTAATAGATAATTAGGTACCATAATTAAAATTTTAAAATACTCTTCATATGCTTATATTAAATTTAATAAGATAAAAGATATATTACACGTATTTTACATGTATTAAAAATGTTCTAA